GAGACAAAAAAGCTGGATTAAAAAATGCACACACACCCCAAAACAAACAAGCAACAACAAAAAGAACAAGTTGCTTCTGCAAGCGTTGGCACTAATTGCTTGGAAATAGTAGAAGGATATTGTGTTGGATTGATAGAGGCATCAATTATTTGTAAACAACCGTAAGCAGCTGGTGCTGAGGAATCGGGGTATTTGTCTTTTTCTGCTATTTTTAAACACGGCAGAGGCATCTCTGTCTAGCCAGAGAAATAATGCAAAACTTCCACTAGATGTACTAGAGGGGGAAAATATCATAGGAACCCCTGAGTACTGCTTGTATGCTAAAGGTTAGCAGGTTATTTCAATAACGTGTATTAAATTCATCTTATGTATTTGTTATGGGGGTGGAAGTAACGGGGGGGGGGGTCTCCTGAAACTGGCCTCTCAGAGGTTCTTGGCTCAGCTCTGCCCATTGGCTGTCCTACAGCTCAGCAAATGCTAATTGTCCAAGCTTTTTGTTTTGCCACAAAATGATCAATCAGGTTCAGTGCCCAAGTGAGCTGCGAAGCAGGCTGGGAACTTCAGGAGAACGGTTTTGCTGACCAGAGGTTACCTGCAGGTTACAGGGGATCTGTTTTTATCGGACGGCTGCAAACCCCCCTCTGCACTCCCGTGCCTCCAAAGGGACCCCCAGCCTCAGCGGGGACATCTGTGAGCGTGAGGGCCGGGCAGAAGTGGAGTCCTTGGGAACAAGATGTCACTTACCATTATCACAGCTGGGGTCAGCAAAGTCAAATAAGGAAATGAAAGAGAGAGAAACGCCTGATACTTCAGGCATGCTGGCTGCTAACACTGAGCAGAGCAGCTCTGCAAAAGTGTTCGGGAATTGGCCTTGCTGGATTTCAGACCAGACACTGAAAACGTGAGTGTTTAGTGCCTGAGGTAGGATGTTTTTGGAGAAAGATGAAACCCCTGTGCCTGTTGAGGACACTAAATAAGCGTTTTGCTATGATGGCTGTAACCGGGCTAAGTTTGAATGGCTCCAAACTTCTGGGCTAGCTGTTGGCTGCGTGTACTCCTGTTTTACCTTCTGCAGTCCAGAAATGACAACTTTGGATTTTTGCCTTTGTGCCACCATTAGTAAATACAGACATCCAAAACGCCTTATATCCTGGATAGTAGTTCAACAGAGCATTTAAGCAAAAGGAATTAAAAAATCTTTTGAGTTTGTATCATTAAAAAAAAAAAAAAATCAACAGTCTAAAACCATTTTTGTTCATTTTGTTTAGCTTGAAAGATGAAACAAAGAACTTCCTAGTACTTACAGTTCAGGGAAAAAGGTCTAGGAAGACAGATTACATTCTAGAAAACTGTGGAAATAATTACATAACTAGGTTGTTTGTAAAAATTGTTTACAAGCAGGCGGTTCCAAAACTTGCTTCTAAATTGGTAGCTTGAAGCATTATTATACGTGATAGTAAAATAAATGGAGCTGAGCTGGATTTAGATTTGGTGCGTTATAATAGATGAGATGCCTGTTGCTAAAATGTTGAAGCAGAAAGGTTTTTTGAGGTCTTGAAAAATAAAGCTGTAAGGGAGAAGTTATAAGGAAAATCTGTTACCAGCTTATGCTTGCTGTGCCACTGACACTTGGAAAAAAAATATGTATTTGTGTCTGATGTTTTTATAGCAATTATTTTCTGAAGTACTCTTCTGTTCTCTGAAAAGGAGGATGTCAGGTGAGCAGTATGGCCAGCACAAAGGGAACTGGAGGGTGGCAGAAGGACTTGGTTACATCTCACTGCAGCAGAGACAGCGGTGAGGCTTGGGGACTTAGCAGTCAGGAGAGCATCAGCTGGAGGAGGGGAGGTTTACGTTGGCTTGTTGAGCTGAGGCTTTGCAGTGCTGGACATAACACATTGCAGGGGTATCTGATCAAAGAGAGCTGATGTGCCAGAAATCCTGTCGGGACTGACCCAGATAGGGTTCCCAGTTTGTGCAGCTGCCACTCGTGGAGCTCGCATACCCGTCAAGCGGATGGCACTTGGATATGAAATAGGTCTTTGTGTTAAGGAGGAGGTTGTATCCCCAGCTTGTGTCAAAAGCTCATGGCTGTCTCTGTGCAGAAGAAACCTGTTCCCCAATGCTTCCGTTGCTGAACAGGAAAATCAAACAGATGTGTAAAACTCACTGTAAAACAGATAAATCTTTATACTGATTGATTCAAAATGGGTTCGGCAGGATCAACCAGCTACTACGTTAATGGGTGGAATTCAATCGTATGAATCAGTCTTGTATTGGAAAAGGGAAGCTGCTGTCCAAATAAAACTCTCGTGCAAGAAAGAAAAAAAAAAAAAAAAAAGGAAAGAGATTAAGCAATAACAAACTTCTCATCCAGAAAAGTTATTCCACGAGATTTTTAGGTTATAAACGCCAACAGCTAATTTCTGGGACCCTCACACAATCAAAGGGTGTGTGTGCATGTAAGGCTACGTGTCTGATCCCAACTCCAAATTTATAACAAATGAAATTGAGATGCATCTTCTGTGAGCGTATTTCCATTACTGAACCTCTGCTGTTCTTAAATTCTCTGCCTCCAACAGGGAATGCTGTGAGAGCAAGATGTGGGTGACAGTGGGAAGTGTGGAGAAACGTGCAAGTAAAAGAAGAGCAGGGGACAGTTTCCAGGCCCCCTTCAGAAAGCTTAATCTTGTCTGGTATACGTTGACCTTTTGAAACAAGAACATTTTCTAGTACTCATAGGGTGAAAGGGATTTTGGTTGCCATATCATGAAAGCACTGGGATGATGTTACAAACTTGGGATGCCATTGAAAATTGGTGATAGTTTCCCTTTGGTAAATCCATCAGGGGAAATAGCCCCTCGTGCACTATGTCGTACTGAGTGGCTCGTGGCTTTGCTCCTAGCAAGCTCTCTCTCTTCAGGCAGGGACTAAAACAGTAGTTTTGGCCTCGCAGCACTTGCCTCAGCGAAGCAATTAAGGCCCTGACTCCTAGATCTGGAAGAAATCAAGATCCTGAATAGTGCCTTGAGTCTGGGCCAACTTGTCTGTGATGCAAATCGAGGTTGCTCATCTGACAGGAGAGTGGTGGATTTGGGAGTGAAAATACTGGCTGGCTTACTAAAATGGCTGAACATCCCTCGGAAATGACACTTACAGCTACTAGTTTGGCCAAACTTATTTACAGTAGGCTGTTTGCTATAGAAGCACCATGAAAAATCTCTCTAAGCACTTTGCAAGTAAATTTTATCTTTGTTGTATCATCAGAAAATGCTGTGTAAGAGAATACTTGCACCTGCTGTATCTCCCATAATTATCCTGAACTCAGCACTGGATTTTGTGTGCCTATTTTTAAAAACCAACTTGCTAAATAGATGTAGAGAATGTTCCCTTTGGAAGAGCGAGTGAACAGCAGTACAGCGTTAGGGAGGCACTGTGAACTTGGCCTGCCTTATATCAGCTGAGTGAAACGATGAAGAGAAGAGAACAGAATAAATGAGTATGTTTTACGTGCAGATACTGGCTTGCAAATCTGGCAATGCCAGAGAAAAAAAAAACAAACACTTTCATGTATTACAAGGCACCTGAGGGATAGTTGGAAACTTTTTTATAAGGAATATAGCTCGTCTGCCCTTTATGACAGAATAGTTAACCGAGGGAAAATAGCATTGGCTTGCAAGCATTGGAAAATGAATGGCTTTGCAAAAATAGACAGCAAAACACCAGTATTCTGCATCTTGATTGCCAGGTTTGGGATGTGTTTAACGAAGCTGGCAGCCTTGTGTGAAAAAAGAGCCAAGTGGTTGGTTACAGCTTTGGAGAAGGCAGAGAAAACAGAGAGAAGGAAGATACACAGAGCTGCCATTTGAACGCACTGTGCTTAGGCTGAGTTTGCAAACCTTTGGGCCACGTCCTGCACTTTGTTGGGGTTACGCTCAGCAGAGTTACACTCCGAGAGTAACAGGAGGGCTGTGAGAAGTTCCCTGGCCGTTCTGTGCCTGCTTCGTCAGTCTGACGGCCAGCTGGGGATTGCATCAGTCCATGGTTCAATTTAGTACAGGTTTTGTACGGCCAGCAGTGAGAGCAGCTGCTGGCTGCCAAAGTAGGAAGGCCGTCAGCAGCAGTGAGGGCTGTGCTGGCTGTGCTGGCTACCGGCAGGAAGATGCTTCACGTTGCAGGCAAATGCCCACTGCAAACCCCTCCGACAGCTGCTTTGCAGTAGCTGTACGGTTCAACACAAAACCTGCAAGCTGTCTGGGCAACAGGATGAGTGTGTTTGGGCAACGAGGCGGGGCAAAAAGCTAACTTAGTGCTTTTAAAAATACATTTCCAGTAAGTACGGGAGGGCTTGTCTACACTCAAACTTGTATGGTTTAATTAAACCAACTGTTTATATCTGTTAATATCTGAGTGCATTTGGTTTGTGCTGCTTTGTAAGTTTAGCATTCCCCTGTAAACTACAGAGCTTATTTAACTTAATTGGAGAATTTGCCATATGTACTTGGTTTAAGAGTCCAAATTGTGAAGCAAGCAACCAGAGTTTCATGTTCTTCTTTGCAGTATGTGTAAATCTTCCGTGTTGGGAAGATGTATTGTGCAGACAGTTCACTGGGATTATTCACGACTGTGCGTAGAGAGAGGTTCAGTCTGAAACTGTGCAAGTGGTGGGAAGGCTTATTCTCTGTCTTGCTCGTTGATTTTTATTTTTTTTTCAAGCACACTTGGCTTTTGAGAACCAGGCAAAGACATTAGGCTGAAATTCCCAGGAAGAAGGAATTGCTTATGGATATTTGACTCTATGTAGTTTGTGCACTTATAAGGCAAAGCAATTTACATGTCAGCAATTTCTCCTCCAACATGAGACCGGCTGCAACACTGCAGATATCTGCTGCTGGGTGGCAAAATGTTGATGATAGCAGAACAGGACACACACATAAAATAAAAAATAAAAAAAATCTAATAATATTTATTAAACAAAAATTAAGGACCAGCTCCATAAACTGAACTTTTTTAAAGTGAGTGAAGCGATAACAAATCTGAATATATTATGCAAAACCCCTCCAAAAGGATATTAACTTAAAAACAAACAACAACAACAACAAAAATAACAGGAAAGAAATGTAGATTAATGCTAAGATTTAGGAGTGTGAATCCCTATAAGAGAAATGTTTAGACAGAACAAGAAACTTTTAGCTGCAATGAATACTATTGCTTCCTTAAGAACAAATAAAGTGAAAAAGAATTTAAGACAGCCCTCATTGTTTATAGATCTTCACAAAGGAGGCATTTGTATGTGTAATGCATGTTTTTGCCTGTTTGTCCTAACACATTCAGGTACCCAGTGTTAATTAACAAAGGTAGGTGGTATTTGGTACTTCAGAGTGGCAGCTGCACCGCAGGATATGCTGCACCCAACACTTGTGCAGCAGGGGAGGTGAAGCGTCCAAGCAGGAGTAGTAGAAAATGACAGCATCTAGGTACACAAGTGACAAGAGCAGAGACATTTTACACAGGTGTCAGTGTGCAGATGAAGAACATATCTTCGTCTTACCTAGCTGAATGAGCCAATTTGGCTGAAGTCTATTATTTGCCTTTGCTTGTTATGTTTAATAATGAGCATTTCAGGAGGGAAATAGGAAAGTAGCTGTGACAAATATCTCTTTTTTTTCCCAAAATGATCTAGGGCAAGTTCCAGACCTGGGTTAGTCTGCCACCACCACCAAAACAAGTATCCCTTTTCTTGTGGTTAAAGAAAATCATGAACAAAGCTACGTCACCAGAGGTGTGAGCGTGAAGAAGGTGCCTTTCACTGCTTGCACAAGGGGCTCCACGTTTCTCTTCCACACAAGGTAACTCTGTACCCAGGCGGTGTCAGTACACGCAGGACTTGGAGCAGACCTCGGCCTAGATCCTGGAATGCAGAAAACAGCTGTTTTGCCTATAAATAAACCAAGAGGCGCTTCTCATATGAGGCTTTTTTTTTTTTTTTTTTTTTTTTTTTTTTTTTAACAGATATGCGGTAGAAATGAAGTGTCTCTTTAACTGCTGGTGTTTGAAGTTGGAGTATGTGGTAGTAGCAGGATTGACATTCTAATCTGTGAAAGTCACACTGCGATCAGGTTTCAGCCTTATCGCCTTGGTATCGTGTTTCAGTGAAACCACTTGTACTGCAAGAGTTAAAGCTGTCAGCCTTTCTGTTTCCAATCTCCAGAGTGTCAGAGTTTATATTTTGGGCAGAGGACAGAACTCCACTGGATTTAGTCAAAAACATCTCCATGCACCAGTGATTGTTTTGTTTGTTTGTTTAAATCACGTACTAAATTATGCAAAATATTTTAAGCATTTAACAAAGATTGTTACTTGGGAGATGTGGAATCAAGCCTGCTTGATCTCCTGGACTCCTGTTTTGTTTTTCTTTTTTTTTTTTTCCTTTTTTTTTTTTTTTGGTTGAATCTGCAGAGCAGCAGCAGTAGGAATGACACTGGCCTTGGCAGTGGGCTGAGACCCCAGTGATAGCTTCTCAAAGCGGCCAGCTGGCTCAGCTGCTTCTGGTCAGCCCTGGGCCCCTCTCACACACTGGCCCTAGGTAACTGTGGCAGAGGTGGTGACAATTAAGTGATGGGAATGTGTTACACACTGAGCCACTGCGGCACTAAATGGGGAAAATTTGTTGGGTATCTGACCAGCCCCCCAAAGTTCTAACACCTGTTTAATGGGCACTCATTGAGTATTTTTATTAGCCCCCAAGGGCTTCCACTTGCCACTGTGCTCAATTCCACTCACCCATGACTGCACACGTAGCAGCCCACATTTGGCTGTAGCCACGCTAGTGGAAAACTAGCAGTTTTTCCTCATGATAGAACAAAAGCTTTCAGTTGCAAGGATGATTTTCCTTTACAAAGTCTAGCTTTGTACCAGCCCTGCTGAACCTGAGCAAGCTGGGACAAGAGCAGAAAGAGACTTACTGTCAGTGTTCGATCTGCCCGGGATGGGAACAGCCCAAGCCTCCCTTTCCCCAGCAGCGTGAAGCAGTTTCCACAGCGCTGGGCTTGCAGCGACTGCTGTTGGAGAAAGATGGGCAGCAGCCAGATCCCAGCAGAAGGATCTTCCTTAAACGCTTCTGGTTGCTTTTTAAGGGGCTGGCTAGGGGCCACCGTTTGAGTTTGTCATCTCTGATTGCTTGGGCTGGAGGGAGGGCAGAAGCTTTTAACCCTGATAGTTTCTGACTGTCCCTTTTCCTGAGCGGCAGCTGGAGCAATTGGAGATTAAGGAGAGAGCGGCTTCTTTTAAAGGAACCTGTTACCCAGTTTTGGAGGTGAACCATAGCTCCTTTCTTGAAAGGAGCTCTGTTAACTGTTTAGTATTTCTCTCTCTGCCACCAGCCTGAAGTGTCAATGCCCCATCTTCTGAACAGGACTGCCAGTCCCCAAAATAAAAGGGAAAACCAGTGAATTATGTTCAGCAGGCCTTGGCATCCTTGTATTTGCTTTGTGGTTTATGAGATTTGGCATTCACTTGGAGAAAATTTTGGGACTGCAATCCAGCTCTTCCTTCTCAGGAAGAAAGAAAAGGAAGAAAGAAAAAATCTGAAGCCCAAATTGGTATCCTCTCCCAGTTAGGTAACTGGAGAAGCTGGGAACTTGAGTCCCCAGCTGATGGCTTTTTTTTTTTTTTTTTTCTTCCCTTCTCTCTCTAAATTAAAACCAAACAAAACTATCCAAAACCCAGTAACGTAACCTTAGTGGCTGTTCAGCTAACAAAGGTTGGCAGTGACAGTCATGCAGCAGGCGCTGTAGGAAGCAGCCCCTCCTGTTGCCTCTGTGGCTGGAGCCAGCAGGCACGTCCGAGTCCCATGCCATACAGGCAGCCTGAGCTAGGTTTTAGGTTTGAATTTTAATACCTTGAAAAGGTTTCTTGCAGCTTTTTTCTTGGTTTAGTCAATCAAGCAGTTTTCAGATAGCATATTACATGCTAGCAGCCCTATTTTTAGGGGTATGATTGCTATTTGTTAATGAAATATTTAGTCCATTATTTCTCTAACAAAAGAGCACGCACACACCCCCACTCTCTGATATGCTCTCTCTGTCAGAAACCTGAACAAAAGTACTCTTCTAATTGCAGCTCTTCTGCATTGGCTAAAAGGGTTGTTCAAATAGTAATCTCCTTCCAAGAGGGAGAGAACAAAATGGGCCAAATTTCTCACAGCCCATTTTGCCTTGGGGGGGAACTGCTCAGTGTCCTACAGCTGGGTCCAGCCAGACCTCTCTCCGGGACAAGTTCCCTGAGCAGACCCTCTGCTGAGGCCAGCAGCTGCTGCCTTTCTTGTTTGTTATTGAGAGGATATTAAATGTTCTCCTGCTGGTCCCTGAGCAGAATGTATGCGTAGCCAAACAGTAACTGAGGATGGTAGCTGAGGGGGTGAAAGGATGCTCTATTAATAAGGGTAATAGGCATCTGCAGGCCTCTGGGGAAACTTGCCAAAACCTTTTTCTAGTAACCGCAGGGATTATCTGGAAATCAATAATAAGGGCGGTAACCAGGGGAAGGAAAAATACATCTTCAAGGGACGTCAAATTCTGTAAGTGCTCTATGAGAGCAATCATGGTGGGATTTAGTGTAATTGTAAAGCAAATCAGATTGAGGAAAATTGTTTTCAAAGGGACCCTTTGCTGGCAACAAGGACCATATGTTCCTTCTTATCTCTACAGAAATATCCTACTTTTTAGTGTATTAACCTATGTGAGTAGTTGTCACAGTCTTGATTTTTAGCATCAACAATTTTTTTATGTAGTAAAAAGAACAAGTGACTCTAAATGAGTACACTATATCGATCTTTGTGGTTTTAACTGTATTTCACCTATGCTAGTCTGTAGCGTGTGTTGTTTTATTAATCTGTGGCATACAGGAACATTGGGATAAACTTCCTGAAGTCAGTGGAACTCTATCCTCTAATGCCAGAAGTGATTTTGGCTCATCATCTGTTGCTCCGTGTTCTTCCTAGCAGATGGTCTGTAGTAATGATGTAATCTCTGCTCATGACACTTCAAAATGCTAGGTTGGTTTGTTTGTTTAACACTTTATCCTTCCAGAAAAGCGTTAATTGCTATTAATACTGAAATCTTATTTTGTCTGCGGTGCTGTTCAAATTGGGAATATCAGCTGTTGAACAGAGTTGTTTAACTGTGTAATTTAACACTGTCTGTGAAAAAGAAATCAACACTTCTGAAGTACTGCTCAGATCCTATTTCATTTCTAGGGGCAGGATTTTTACCGACTTTTTGTTGTGTCTAGGAACACTGGCCTTGAGGCTCCCATGTGCTTAGATACAAAGCATAAAAAAGATAGAAAATCTTTCTACATCCCAATAGCTAGTGACCTAAAAGGCATATAGGTGGCCTTGTAAATGTCTGCTTCCATAGAGCCAGTGGGAGCGTTGGCCCCATAGTTGCTTTGTAAAAAGAAGCAGGACTTGTTGTTTTGAGAGTGCGGTAGGTGTCTGCATACTGCTAAAAATCTGCCAGTTAATCTCACTTGTAAGGGACAGAGAGTACTGTTAAGCTTTTTCTTTTGTTTTACTCCTGACCTTGTTCTTAAACCGTTGTGTGATATAGGGCAACTCAAGATCAGGTCTAAAAAAATAAGCAATTGGAAGTTTGAATACAAGGTGCCATCTTCAAGCTCTGGAGACTTCCCAGACTCGTGCCGTTAGCACTCGCTCCTTCCTTTTTCCTCCCTCTCTAAGTAGATCTAATCAAAGACAAATGTCTGGTTAGCAGAGAACTGGTCTGTTACACATCCATCTTGCATTTTATCTCATTTTTCCTTTTTTTCCCCTTTGTATCTTTGTTTTAAAAAAAGTATATATTTTTAAACTGTATGTCTTATGGATCTATTAACCTAGTCCTAAATTGTCTGAACCATGTTTCCATTCACTTCTTAAACACAGACGTGTTATTTGCAGCTCTTATTGCATGATACTATCCACAAATTATTTTCAGTGTTTACTCCTGGATTTGTCAATTCCAAGGGCAGTTCTTCCTAGAAATTTGGGATGGAGAATGCTTAGTACTTCTCATTTAAAACCATTAGGATCTTTACATTTTGCTCCTCCGTGGGAAGTGGTGAATACTTTGCAGGTATTCTTAGTCTCCTGACACACTCTGGCCTTTGTCCCCTTGCCACCATTTTTAATGTAGAAGGTCATGTGTGATTTCAAGGTCATGTCTTAATTTTGAAACTTGTTTATCTTATCTTTATTTTCATTGTTTATCTTTGATCTCTACCTTTCCTTATTATGCCCTGGTTTCAATTCTAATTTCCCTGAGTTGGCTTATTAAAAGCATGGTGAACTTGTTTCTATCTTCTTGTTAGTGTGCTTTGAAAGATCTAATTCAACTTTATTATTGAAAAGTCTTTTATTATTGCACTTCATTATCACTTTAAAAAGTAAGTGGTCAGTGTATCTTTTTGTCTCCTGAATACCTAATATTTATTGTTTTCAACATGGCAATTTGTTCAGTTAGGTCTGGAGTCTTTCCTATACTTTTATTCTCTTCCTGATTATACAAGCTTGAGATGGTTAGAAGCTTACATTCAAGGAAATTCCAAGCCTGCTACTTCTGATTGGAGAAATTCTGTCTTGTGAACATTAGGTGCTTTATTTCCTTCTTGACTGTAGAACTGTAAGTGATGTATCCTGCATTTTGTCTGTTCAGACTCCTGTAACTTCACGTTTAAACACCAACACTGCACATAGGTCTTTGAAGCCAGACAACTGGACAGAAATTTACTAATGCGGTTTTACAAGCATAGAAGTGTACCTAGAAGAGTTTGATATAAGATGCTACTGGTCTAAAGAACTTTTTTTTTTAAATATATATCTTAAAAGAAGCCTTAAAAATGTGTATTTGTCTACTGAGAATCATACTAAATAAGGAGACCTGCAGATATGTTTTGAATATGAATTTTGGCATTTACCTAATATCAGAAATTTTAATAAAATGCTAAGGAGTTGGTTAAGAGGTACTGTTCCTAATCCCTTTTCTTTCTTTTTTTTTTTCTTTTTTTTTTTTTTTATACTGGAATTAGTTATACTGCAGAGTGTATTTATATGTTTTTTCCTTTCTGAATTAGAAGAAATGAAACGGTGTTTGGAATAATAGATAAGTCTTTATAAAAATACATTATGCTTTGCCTGTAAGGCTTATTTGTAATAAGAATGTAGCCATTTCTGCCTTAATTGCTTACATCAAAAACTCTTGGGAACCATTTTTATACTAATGCACTTCCCACCATGGCTTCAGGCGTAGTGGTCATGAGGTACTTCTGCTATGTAAATACAATTAATCATGATAATTTTGTCATACGCAAACCTTTCCCATGCAGCAATGATAATTTGGGTTAAGATTCCAGAAACATCAGTTCATTTGGCACCTTTTCTGGATACGAGTGAACAGGAGCCTACTCCTGCTCAGGGAGCTGGCAGGAGCAGTGCCACAGAAATACGAGACCTTTTGAGCTATCTTATTTAAGGAGGCAGAACTTGGATGACGAACCGCTGAAGGCTGTGCAAAACACTCGCTTTCCCCTGCAGAAGTGCTCCCTTCCTTGTGCTACCTAGTACTATTCCTACGGTACTTAATAGAAAAGTAAGGTATTTTATACTTCTCCACTTCAGGATTTTCAGCTCAAAAACAGTTTCCTTGTGTGCTAACCCTAACATTTCTGTTCTGAGCATTACTGCTGTCTTTTTTTTTTTTTCTTTATAAATGTGGGTGACCCTATAAGACAAACCATTGGAAGGGATGTGAAAAGAGAGTAATTGTCATGTAATTTTATTCTGCATTCCTGAAGCAATGTTGAACAGTCTTTGTCAGAATCAAAACTTATTTTCATTTTTTATTTTTTCAGCTCTTCATGAAACTGCTTGTCACTGCTTCTTTCAAGTATGAAGTTATGTCTGTAAAGTGAGATGGATCAGAACATCAAACTATGAAGACATCCCCAGTGCAATATAGTGTTTAGCAGGTATAATACAGATTGTTTTTTCATATTCCTGGCAATGTTTTTTGCAGTAGATTGTGAAAACCCACATACATGTGGTAGATAGGTGAACTCACCTGGAAAAGCCACTTAACTTCTATAGAATCTTTTTTTTTTTTAGTTTTCTTACAGAGGAGTAGGTCTAAAGGAGTAGGTTTAAATGAGGACTTCTCCCAACCTTCTCTGACTCTTACTGTTTTTATGTCTAATATCACAGAAAAGTGAATTGGGCATGCATTTCTTGTGCTCATAAATATATAGGTAGTATGCAAGCATATGATGTAATTTCCTTCTGAGTCTGCAAAACAAAAGCTTTAGAGCCTCTACAGTTGATAGAAAGCTGATGGAGCTTTCACATGATGCCATGTATTTCCTTGTATTATGTGTGGACAGCTGCAAAGATGGCAAAAATCAAAGCCATTCTTACCCTGTTCCATGGGAAGTTACAAGTAGAACCAATTTTCACTCCCAGGGGTGATAATTACTCAGAAATCCTCTACTCTAGAGGAGTCTGATATTTACGATACCTCTACTATCTCTGTGTTGACATAAAAATGGATAGAACCACCAGCAAGGTATAACTGTGCTGGTAGGACTCATGGCATCCTTCTTTTTTTCTATAGCTTTGCCACATAGTTTTGCCATTTAAAGCTTTGGAGAGGAGAGAAAGGTTATTATAATCACAGTGTAGAACTGGTCATATTGTGCTGTCCTTCCCCTGTATGTTACAAGAAACGCAACGAGACTGAGGATGGAAACTGGAAGTAACATCAGGTATTCCTGTTGGTTAAAACCCTTCAATGATGATTCACCATGTGTTGCAAAGCACTGATGCAACACTATTGTATTACTCTTTTGATTCTGATAACCCCATAACAGCATGCAAGAAAGGTAAAACTAGAATTTTCGCTATTAGACTAATTGTAATAAAACTGTGATTGGCAAATACTCTGTCGTTCTGAATAATAACAAGCAGAGATGGGCACTGATGTTCTTCTTGTGCTACATTTGAGGAATGTAATTCTGTTCATTTCAAATGCTATTGCTGACTTCCGCTGGTACAAGCTGAGATTCATACATGTAGAAGCTTTATAAGACTAAGGTAAGGTGAGGATGTTAGTTATCAGAAACAATGCTGTATAAAAATTCAACTTCTTAATTTTGTTTGTGCTACATTTTTTATTTTGCTTCTGTGGGCCTTTTTCAACTGTTGTAAAAACCCTACTGTTTCCCTCATAATCTCTTCAAAAATAAGAGTTGTTTCTCCTTTTTGCTTTTATACCAGTCATGTGTTGATGTAGAAAGGCGCTGATTTTTCTGGAACAGCTTTACTACCTAGGCGAATACCTGTATAAGTCACTGTTTATAAGTTTTAATTTTTTTCGTTGCATCAAACTGGAGCTGCAAAGGTAGTTAAACACATTCAGCTATTATTTAACTCTGCAGCTTTGTTTCTTTAGATATACCACAATTGATTTGAATGATTCATTTCTGAGAAAGCAATACAATTACAAATGGGTCCCATGGCTGCAGACTTCCTTTCCTCCTATTCACTTCTGCCTCAACCCCTCACAGGAGCTGCAAATAAAACTGTAAAGACCATGTGTCAATCTTAGATGTTTCCAGAAATATACAGGGGCAGAAATTCCACCTGCCTTGAACAGGGAAGCCACAGGAGAAAATATCAGGACTCGCCCAATCCATTGCTGCAGTGGATAGAGGTAAAGTAGTGACCGATCACTCTCTGTTTCTCAGGTCTCACTCGAGCAGTTTGAATGTGCCCTTCAATTGTACTAGCAAGAATAAATTGAAAAACAAATCCAATTAGAGTTGCCCACTTCAAAGATCCCCTCCAAAAGACCTGCACCTGAAATGCTCCAGGATTCAGACTGTCCCAAGTGCAAAAGGGAAAGGAGGATCCAGAACAAGTATGACACATTAATTTTGCAGTCCAGAAGAGACGGGGAGGCCTTGGAGAAAAGGATAGTGGAACTGGAAGCTGAAATGAAAGACCACAAAGAACATAGGCTACCTCTTGGACGAAAGAATAGAGAGATCTGCTTTCTTAAGGTGAGTCTTTTGCCTTTCAGCTGTAGGGGACTGTGCCTTTTCTTTTTAATTTCCTTTGTTCTTTGTCAGTGTACATTGAAATGTATTTCATGACAGAGAATTCTACACAGAAATGGCTGTACTCTGCTGCTTAAGGAGTAGTTCACCCCTTCTATAGAAACATTCCTTCTATATGGAGTCATATCTGGCTGTGGTCTATGACAACTGCAGGTTTTCTAATTATTTTTGAGACAAAATGAAGAGAAAGGAACCTGTGGTATTGATATATAGGGATAATATCTGCTGGGTATTATTGTTTTTTAATGGGTGCTCATAGAATTAAACAGCTGTTTGTCAGTGTTTTCACTTCTTGATGGACCTTAGTGATAAGAAAAGACTCATTGTTTGTTGTTTGTGTTTGGTCTGCTGGGCAAACTGGTTACCTGGAGTAATACCACCAAGTTTTTCGTATGTTCTATGAGAAAACCATCTTAAGAAAATATTTTTCAAGGAATATGTGAAGTGCAAAGTAGATGTTCCTTCAAGGAACGATTGTGGGCTTTTACACTGTTAGGAAAATATTTTATCCATTAAGCCAAGCCAGTCTTGCTGCCTGTCTAGGGCCTGCCTTGTTTTGAACTTCTCAGAAAAGGAGAAGAATAAATAGATAAGGTAAAGGTCAAGCAGTTTTGTTTTGCACTGCTTTCCTCTGTTTTCACCTTCTCGTCACTGAGCCCTCTGTGATAGGTGGGACCTGCTTATTCTTTGCTGTCACATCTATCAGCAGATTGCCACCTGCTGGATACCCTCCACTGCATCTTTGCTCCATCATGCTTGGAGGCTTTACCAGTATTTCCATTAGCAGGTGTGGTGTACTGGGAGAGGTGAAAATGCTCAGTGCAACAACCTGTTTGTGTGTGTTTCAAGGGTTTTACTTTGAACTAGCTCCCACTGGTGGCCGGGATGCATCTTTCAATTGATTTGATCCTAAAGGAATCCAATTTGCGTGTTTCAAGACTGCTTGGTGATGTGAAGCACAGCGCAGGACGCGGGGACAGGAAGATTTGTAATAGATACTTCTCCACACCCAAACTGAGATGCTGATGTAGAGGTACCATTTAATTATTTTTTTTTAATGTTTTTAAAAGTTTTTCTGCCTCTTTCATATGCTTCAAAAACTTGAAGGTCAATTTAGTTCTCCTGAAGGATGGCTGGTGGCCGTTGTTCAGCGGGTGGCCTGCAGGTGTTCAGCAGGCTGGCGTCACAGCCTGTGCTGCCAGCGCTTTCCAGGCCTGTCTTGTGAAGGCTCCACGAGCTCTGAGGGCAGCCTTCCAGCCCAGGGAGGCTGCTAACCCAGCCTGTGAAGCACGATGCAAACAGTTTAGCGTGTGCATGCTTTGTGCCTTCTTGCCTCACTGCCTGTCTCGGGCAGAAGCTGGATTTCTGGGAGATGATTAATATCACTCTCTTTCTCCCCCTCCAAATGCCCTAGATAGTACTGCTGCATTTGCTGCAACATCTTTCTGCCCAGTAATCTCATTTAGTACTGGGCATGTAGATGAATATTATTGTACTTCATGAATGGAGAAGCTAGAAAGCCACTGTCCTACAATCCAGCAGTGGGTCAGAAAGAAGTCTGAATATTTTTTTTTTTTTTCTGCGTAGTAGACTCTGTGAATAGTCCCTCCACTCATTCCTTTAGGCTTTGTGTGCCAGGCCCTATTACTATACAGGAAATTCAGAACACTTACACGTCTCTTCTTTTCCACATAGCTATTAGATGCAGTCTTGAGAAGGAAAGAACAATAGAAAAGGAGAACGTTTAAAATCCTAAAACACTCTTAATGTCTGGCAGTTAGACAATATTAATTATACATGTACCTGTGTATTTAGAAACTCAATAAAACTCTCTTTTGTTTCTAAATGAGCCAGAACAGCTTGTTTTGTAAAAGCCATTTTCTATCTATAGACAGGTATCAGTTCCCTTATTGATGGGACCGATTGCTTCCTGTGCTAATGCATCTACTATCCTGCACCTCCTCGTAAGGTGGCTCTGACATAACTCATGCACCTCTTTGGTACAGCGGATTAAGAAAACTGTTTTGTTCACAGTGCTGTCAGTGTAGAGCAACTGCACGTGGGCACTTTGAAACAAAGTTGGTTTCATCACCCTAAGAGTCCCCTGATATCGGTTCATTTCAATAGCACACCGCTCTGTTCTGTTTTTTCTGTGGGCCAAATATATTGCGAGAATGAAGGCAGTCTGTCTTGGATGTTCACCAGTGTTATTTTTGCCTCCAACCACAAATTTCATTTGTTCAGAAGCTGATGAGCTTTGTGTCTTTGCGGTGACCCACACACGAGGATGAAGGCAACGCCCTTCTTGTCTACAAAGCATTTGCCAGAACTGATAATGCCTCTAAACAGCCAGCAGGAATTCACGTGCAGATCAACTCCAATCTTCATGTTGCTGCTGTTCCTGAAGAGAATGGTTTGATTGATTGGGCTGTCAGTCTTGTTTTTTTCTCTTTTAGATACAGACTTACAATTTTATATTTTAAAGGAATTTTGAGGTTTGAAGATACTCTTAAGGCTTTGCAGCAGGAAGATGCAGCATCGTAGTGTTAAGATACAGGAAATGAGTATACCTCATGGTCAGAGTATTCCCCTACAGCCCTGGGGAATAGGGAAGTTGGGAAGGAATCCTAATAGAGAGAAGAAAGACTTTGTACAGAAGGACAGTCTCCAGTGGCCTGCAGTTGAGAGATGTAGAGAACCGTGGACACGACTGTCCTGCGTATCGGGAGAAAGACAGGTCTCTTTTGTATGCTGCACAGCTGGAAAAGGGGAATCACGCAGCCTTATGGCATGATGCATGCTGCGTTTGCCAACTTCTTTCTTCAGAATGTAATTAGACTTGGGCGAGGAATAGGGAGACAAAAGACAGGATTTCATTAATATTAATGGACTTGCTATAGGAGAGTTCTTCTCGTTGACAAGATAATGCACAGCTTTAGCATAGCCTATTTCTTCAGCTGGCAAGGATTCCGGAATCCTCCTTGTGGAAAATGTCCAGCTATAATGTTGTTTTTCAGTGTTCAAAATGACTCCAGAGGGAGATGTGGGTGAAATCCTGCTCCCTGTTTCAGTCAGTGGCAAAGCAGCCACTTCCCTTACTGACCAGGCCTTCCATCCTAATTTTCCCAGTATGTGCTCAGCCTCTTAAAGCTGAGCAGAGAACATTTAAGCTTTAGTTCAGAGTGAACATGGAGCTCGTGAAGTCTTTTCTCCCTACCAAGGTCAGCTCATTAATCAAAATGGAGGACTCGAGCCTGTCTGGAAGGAGCTCAGGATGGAAAGGAGATGCGAGCCCAGAGGACCAACGTGAAGCACAGCAAGCTGTTTCTTCAGATGGAGGAGTTAAAAAGTCAAAGCTCAAAAGGACAAAAAACAAAGGGAAAAGGAAAAAAAAAAATTGATTCTGGATAATGAGAAGGTGCTTATCAGAGGAAATGTGGTTGTGTTGATGCACGCATGCCAGTGTACAGCAGTTTTCTTCCCACTTCTTATGCTTGCTCTGAAGCAATTTAACTTTGAAATATATACGGGAAAGGTGGCTTTTTGCTTGTTTTCTGTGTTGGGGAAGATGAAAAAGGATGAAGGGACAGATGTGGCACCCTTGAAGTTGTTGGGGGACAGAGTTTTCCTTAATGTCCATTGCCATTGGATAGAGAGAGACAGCTTCTGAGTTTTATGCAATGGCAAATAACTGATGTGATCTTGTGGAGTTCCCTTTATGAAAGAAGCAAACAAATTCTGTATGAACTTTGTATCTGTTACAGCATTAAAAAAAATACCGTGGTGTTGGTAATGAAGATGTATTATTCTTCCTGGCAAAACACTGCAGGAAGTGGTTAAGACATCCTAACACTTCACTGCTCTCCGGGGCTGTGAGGGTGCAGGTCACAGCACTGCTCTGTGATTAGAGGGAGTGGGACCATTTTTTTTTCCTCTAGCAAGTGAAATCCTGAGAACTGAATCCTTGCAGTTCATGTAAAGTCAAAGGTAGGCTTCTTGCTGGGAATAAGATAGCTTGAAAATGAGCAGCTGAGTGCTTTTCTGCCACATTATCCCTCTTTCATCGGGCTGGGATCAGGGCCTCATCAGCAGTTATTCACTGAACCGTTGCACCATGGAGGACTTGGAGAGCTGAGATGTTCCAACCAAGTGACCTTCACTTTCATCATCTCCAGTGCTGCAGGTGTTGTCAGAACTTTGCTCTAAGAAAGCATATTCCCCCAGTTAATCTCTTATTAAGTCCCTTGAAATCTGTGGTGTTGTCCCTGGCATGCAGTGAAAACAGAGCACCAGCTGCTGTAGTACATTTGTCCTCAGGTTTCCTGAGTCGAAGTGCAACGAGATATGGCCTAAAATGAACCATTGTTTTAACAATGACATAGCTATTTCCTTTGCAAAGAGTCCTATTTTTAATTATTTTTTCCTTAATCTTTCTATTTTTTTCTACCAATGTTTACAGTATATAGTACAATCCCTCTTGTTAGAATTGTTCTTTGTGTGGCTGGGAGGTGTAAGCAGGCATGTCTGCAGCGAAATGTCTGGGATACCGAGTCCAAAAGGCTTGTGCTACAGGAAGTTCTAAAACAAAACAAAACAAACCTGGAAGACTCCATCATAGTTCCAATATAGAAAACGACTGTATCCTTTGGAACATAGCCTGTGTTTCTATTCTGATAGGATGTTTTTTAAAAAAGGATACCTTCTTTTCTGAAAATCGTATATGCTCCAGCAAGGAGGGGATCTTGATTTTGATTACTGAAAGACATGAAAGAAAATCTGCCAAAATCTGCCACTGGCAATTTTTTTTTATTTTTTTTTTTTGGTGACTGGTTGACTGGTTTTCAGTTTCAGCCAGCTCTGCTCTCCTGTAAAGCCAGTGGACCCAAACAGGCCTGTGTGACTACACCGAATCCTCCAGTCTTCAGGGAGGCTGCCTTTCATGCATACCTTGAGGTGGTACTGCTGCTGAAAGAGGTTCTCTTTGTCTTTTTTGCCTTTATTCTCATTTCTCCCTTGCACTGGCACAAGCTGAGTCTGGTGAGGGAACAAAGCAGGAAACTAAACAGTGAAAACTTGCAGAAATTTGAACAAGAGAAACTGTTTTAAGGAGTGGGAGAAAAATAGAAAATCTTCTCCCTCACATGTTTTTTGGGTGGCAGGGGCATATTTATATATTTGTATATATAATATATATATATATATAATATATATATAAATATATTTATATACAAAGTAAGAAAAATGTTTGGGATGTGCTCGTGTATTATGGCTGAGGAAAAAAGACTTCTTTTTGCTTGAAGCAAACTCTTCATTCAACTGTTCTGTGAAACCAGAGTTTGGTTAAAAAAAACGTTTGCACAAGTAGTTTAGCAAGTATGTCATGCTGCCTCAGCCCTTTGTTCTCATTTATGGAAAGTGAATCGTGCATACTTACATGTTTGTGGACACAAACAACAAATAATTTATCAAGTTATGATCATTTCTGTTGTTTTACAGGATGCTTGCTTGATGGAAATAGCAGACCTGAGGGCCTGTGCTGAATGGGTAATGTATGAAAATGACTCTCGTGGTGGTGAGTTAAGTTGGAATACAACAAAAAATGAAAAGGAAGTTCATTTGTTTTTCTGAGAATCCCATGAAGCACAGAAGTTCACAGAAGAACTGTGTACTTCAGCATCTTTGTGCTGTTGTTTATATATAGTGTTTTATTGAGGTTTTGAGAAAAGTGTTAGTTCTTTTTTTCCTCTTAAAGGAAGTTATCACTTCATGGAAACTACTTGGTAGCTGCAAGGTGATTTACAAATTTTGCTGTGCAGTTTCTTTATATTGTTTTGAGCTCCCTTTTGAGAAACCATAAGGAATCTGATCTGCAGGCTAATTGCCATGAGGACAGCCTTTGCTAATTTCTCCTAATACTTGGCCCTTCCAGAACTTCTTCTGCCTGAGGGATTCAAAGATTTTTGCCAGTATTTTAGGAGTCTTCTGTGTCAATACACAGGTCTTGCATGAGAACAGTGCAGAAAGTCCTCTGGAAGACTGCATGCTGGAAGGCCCACAGTGTACCTGGGCATTCCCCACTTGGATTTCCTGCCCCTTCAGCTGGCTGCCAGCAATAGCAGGGGATGGAAGGTCCTTTAGGATGTGGCAACTCTCCTGGAGAGAGGACTTATGCAGGGATTTGTTTCTTAGAAGCATCTTCCAAAGTGAATTTTCTTTTAACTTGGTATTAAATCAAGTGTATTTGACAGGTAAACAATGGCACTGAGCTCAATCATGTGCCATTTTAGCATCTTGTTGGCTGGGCGTTAGGGTGAGGAGGTTAGATGATAGGCTTTGGTGTTGTACAGTCTGCTTGGTGTCTGAAAAAGAGCTAGCTGTTGAACAAAATTGAGCAACGTTTTCTATTTAAAGAAAATGTACTGCCTCACCAATGCTAAAGGTGTTCATAGCTATGGGTATTTTCCAGCTAATGCTATTTGGAAATAACCATGTCTCAAACCAGTGCAGAGTGGCATTACTGTGTATTATCCCTGTGTTTTGTAAGTAACTTCAGAAACATAACAAGCTTAGAGGATGCTGTTTTCTCTAATGAGTTAATATATTAGCATGCCTGGTTTGGTAGATACGAACGGAAAATGGTTTGCTTCTGGAGAAGGTGGAGGAACTACAGAAAGTCCTTGAGAAAGAATCTCCCTCACACAGCTTGGCCTCAGCTTTTGATGGAAATACAGGGATGTTAGCAATGTCCCAGTGCAGCCCAATGGATATTGGGTCAGGTATGTAAAATGTACACGTGTTTTGCATACCTGTGTTCAGAAACATGTAAAGACACTGAATAGGTTCATTCTTCCCCAGACTTGAAATGTGGTTTTTGGCTTCTGAAAGGAACAGTGCAACTTGGTTTCTTGTTTCGAAGCGTTCATTGTTTTGTGCGTGCAGTTAGTGAGGAATGGGTGTCAGTAATAACTCTAGCTGTTTTCATCAATTCGAAAAGTCCAGATACCCCCCTCAGAAGCCTCTCAGCCCCAGGAGTGAAGTTGCGTGGCTGGTTTGAAGCTGAAGGCTATTTCTGTGCAGCACTGAGCTGCCTTTCAGTGGGAAGGAGGCTGTGTGAACAGGGGAGCTTGTGTGCTATGAAGGAGCATGTTCTCAGGGGAAGCAACAAGCTGGAGCAGGCAAACAGGTACCCAGACAGCTACCCAGGGAGACTGAAACTCAGCCTCAGCTTGCTAGGACTGAATGAAATTAGCATTAACAGAATATGAGGAGAAGGAAGGTTTCAGCCAGGAATCAACTATGAATCTGGTCAACAAGGGAAATGGGAAATTCTCACCAAAAAAATGGAAGGGACAGTTTTACAGGAAGTAATAGTTCGTGCTAACCTTCAAAGTGGGTAACTCTACAAACTTCTGCATAATTGCTTAAATGATTAATTGCTAAATATATTCACATGTTTCTGATCCAACTGCCTCAGGAACTCTCGCAGTTTTGAATTATCAACTTTATAAACCAACTGATAGGCATTTCTTAATAATTTTAGGATTTCTTGAAGGCAGATATACCCTTTCTAGACTTTCAGGCAATAGAGTAAGTAAGATGTTCTGACACTTCAACTTTTATTCTCATCTAGAGTGAGCATGGTAGAGTTTGTATTAAAAGTTTATGTTAAGAATTTGAGACCACAGGTTCCAGAATTTGAAAATGAGCTCTCTGTTCCCTCTGGAGCTGATTAATAAGCACATTTTTTAATTCTAGCTTTAAAGAAACAGGCTTTTGCTGTCTGAAGGATTTTCTGAAAAAAATTGATTTATTGCAGTGTATTTCCTGTCATGAGTAAATATTACTTTTCTATTGAAACTTTATGATGGATTGCTAGGCTGAACACAGGTATGTAAAGTGCGTGTACATTTTAAATATTATTGTTGCTTACCACAAGCTCTGGAAAAGCATAATGTAGTAAAGGATGTTTATGGACTTTACAATTTTAAGTTTTGGTTTTACTAAACCAGCAAATCAGATCAACTTGTTGATCGTTGGCTTGTCCTCTGCTACTATATTGCTGTAAATGCCTTTGAAATAAAAATGAATGAACTAATTAAACTGAGGCCAAGCAATAATTTGTGAATGTCTTTGTCCTTTTAGGTATTGCTCATTGCTTTACCAGCTGTGATGATGCCCTCAGAAGTTCCAGTGCCTTCAGGTATAAAGGTGTTACTGGACTGAGCTCCACAGAGAAGAACTTAATCAGAAGGGAGGAGATGCAGCAAGAGCTGTAAGAACTGATTTTTGTTTGTTAGCTTTTACTACTTAATACAAAAGGAAATTGTGTTTATATCCATTCTAGAAATTGTACAGTGGCATGAAACATACACTAAAAGCATAGCAAGTTATCAGAAGCCCTTCACGAGAACCGTGTATGTCTGTGAGTGTGGAGGGATGTGTTTGAAAACAGAGTAATGAGCCGAATAATGCGCTAATGGCAGGGGTTGTAACAGCTCAGTATGCTGGAAACCAGAATTTCCTACCTGTGTTGCAGTAGGGTTACTTACTGTTAATCAGTAACCTGCTTACTCTTACTAACCTTCTTATTACTAACCTGCCTAGTAACTATTGTTAGTAATCGGCTTGTTAGTAAGCCCTAACTATTAGTAGCAAGTTTGGAGCTGTGCAAAGGCAAATACATTTGGTTTTAGTCTTGTTGGCAACTGGCTTCCATGGTACCTTATCTGTTCACGCAATTAAACAGTTTTGTTGCCAGTCTTAATTGTCAGAAAAGAAAACTGTTTCTTGCCTGTGGACATCTGTCCTCTCTGTACTACAGCCACTTAAGCATGTGGGGGATTTTCCTGTGTCTAATCCTTGGATGCAGCACTGTGAGACACTGATTATCATAACTGGCTACTGCTAAAAGCGAGAAGTCCTGTTTGTTCGTCCCATCCTTTAACCTCAACCACTCCTTTTGGCTGGGCTAATTTAATGACTTAATTTGACTCGGAAGGGTCTGCAAAACAAGGAGGAAAAGATGGGAAGAAAGCTGCCCTTTCTGGGAGTTCAGCTGCCCATGAAAGGATTAACGTTGTGGGTAAACATGATGCACTTCCTCTGGAGTATGCGGTGATGCCCTGTAAGACTGGATTGGGGATTTATTTCTGAGTTTGTGCACACTTAGCATGCTGGAAGCCTCTTAATGCTGTTACTCTGTAATACAAAACTAATATCTAAAGCAGTCCATCAGGTCCCACAACTTTCTTTGTATCTGCGCAGTTCACCTTACACGATCCCTGATTTTTATGCTTCTACATTTGACCGATGGTCTTTTTAGTATACAAGTAGGGAGGGGAATTTTTCTGATACTATTGTAAGCCTTAGTTTTAAACTGGCATTTCTGAAATACCTTGAATTCCTGTTGAAGAAAGAAGCAATTTTGAGTTTTGCTGGCATATGCAAGAGCTTTTTATTTTTTTTTTTTCCTCCCAAAGCCAAGTAATTAGCAAAATACATGTATTATACAACCAGAGATGTAAAACTGAAATTCCACTGAACAGACCTCAAGCCATTTCCAATTTTATCTGCATGTTTTAAGTTAGTAAGCGTGCATCTGCCATCTCTTGTAATCATGGACTAGTCGGTCTTTCTGGACAAATGTATTTGGCATACAAACCTTGTTTGACAGAAATTTATGGGCAAATCTATAGACATACTTTCAGAAATAGTTCTTAATGCATGGTTTGATTTTTTGGAGTACCTGTATCTGCTATACTGAGGCAAACATTTTGCTTTCTGCCATTCTGGAAGTGTGAGGACTCTAAATGAGACAGTTAAATCATTTCAAATTAGTGATGACTTTAAAAGTTTTCTTCAAAAACAATTTTTTTTTGTTAATCTGTTTTTCAGCAGCTGTAACCTTGTGTGTAATTCCAATATTTAATTCAGGAAGGTAATGATGCAATCATTTTTCCTTAAAGGAAAAGAGAACGTAACCTCCTGCTTGATGTTTTGGTAATTATGAATTCCAGAAGATAGTTTCTAGAGGAAGTGGTACCATATATACAAAGAAAGCTAGAGAAATGCAGGGGAGATTTGGAAGTCAGAAACTGAAAGACAAACACCGTCCTGAAAAGAGGGGCTGTTGTCTGTTGAAAGCACAAAGTGTTGTCTAATAGTCCATGGTGGCATCTTTTCTTGCTCCCATACCCTTGTTGGATTCCAGCTGGGTGTTGTGCTTCCTGTGGCAGATGTGAGCAGATGCAAGGGGGGGAAGCTTAGTATGGAATTTCCAAAAAAGGCTCCACCTTGTATTCAGCATTGTGAGAATTACTTTGAAACCCAGAAGGGATGTCTTTGCAGACTTGCTTGTACTGTTCTTCCAAACCTGTTGGAAATATTTTGCCTGACACATCCTTAGATTTTTAGATTTCCTTTTTATGATAAGAATTTGTGGTCAATTACCCATTGCCCAAAAGTCATCTGGGTCTTTCTCCTTATAGCTTTAGGTGACAAATTCCCGTTACAGAAGTTATTCCTGCACTTTGAAATACTTATTTAAGAGTACAGCCTACAAAGCGATCCTCTTCTTCCCATGTGATATTTTTAATCCTTTTTAAATACACCTTCCTCATTTTCTTTGCAAATTTTTTGAACATGTTTCTACTTCTGTGTTTTGGACATTAATTAAAATACTAGTCAGAATATTCAATAATTTGTGAGAAACTTCTGTTCATCTCTCTCCTGATAGTTTCTCTGAAAGCATAACTCAGAATCTGTCCTTTAATGAGCTTCTTACCTTAAAATGTTTCTATTATATCATCCTTAGTGATTCAAATTAATTATTTTTCTCCATGTTAATTGCATTAAATAGATTTGAGTTCTGACAGAAAGCAGTACATATTTTATTCTGCTTTCCTATTGTACTATACTACATCTTGGTAATTTACCAGAACCTCTCATCTGGATTTGAATTTTTGTGCTGAGGTTACTGTATTTTTTTTCATTAAATATAGACATCTTCATTTAAACATCATTATCCTTTTAGCTTTTTCTTGTCTCATCTACATTTTAAATCATCCACCTGACTGTGCTGGGGAGGGAAGACTTAGCTTTTAGGCCTTCCTACTGTTCATCTCATGACAGTATGGTATCCACACCTCTTTTTATTGTTTAGTCATATATCTGAAACTTTTGTTGCTGTACTTGCTTCATGAGATTTAATTCATCCTGACCAGTCTCTCCACATTTTGTTCTTTCATGTGACTTTTCATTGCTATTTCATTCCTTTTTAAATCCTTATTGGAGTACTTATCCCCATACATTTTCTTAGGGTGTTATTTATCCATACAGTATTTTTTTCTTGCTTGTAATGCTACTACTGAATAGCTTTTTTATTTAGATTTCACATTGCTTTCCTTTTCAACATCTGTGCTTCTCAAAGTGGTTGCCCTAATGTCTCAGAGTTTAATATTCTTTTTCCAAATTAAAGAATCCTATATATGTTATTGTCAAATGAAAACCCCACCTTTTCTTTGATCATTCTTGTTGAATTCTTCCAGTCCTATAACAAATAAATCAATCCCTTTTAAGATGGGAGGGCCAGGACTGCTCACAGTATTCATGCTGGAATTTATTTTTTCCAGTATATGGTATCGTATAATCTAGGAATATTTTTTTTACCCTCACATGCATTTATTTGCAATTGCTAAAAATGAATGATATCTACTCTTCTGTCATTCCACTTCATAAGATCACTTGGCATGTTCTTTGCAGTCAGGTGAATTTAATCATAGCATTGAATACTCTGTGGCCTCAGCACTACAGATCACATCTGAGTATGTTGAACAATGTGAATCTCATTGAATGTCTGCTGATAAGTGCATTTACACTGTTAAAATTGACCTTTTCTTCCCTGATGGCTTAAGTGATTACTAATTCATGAGGACCTTTCTTCTTGTACAGTAAGGCTGGCTTACTTGGGATCTTTTAATGGCACATTGTCAATTAGTTAAACCATATCAACAGGATTTCCTTAGTCCATATGGTTCTGCTTGGCTCTTTTGGACATGCCAGAAAAGTTGAGGCATAACCTCCAAAAGCTGTGCTTAACTCTTCCTTGTTATATCACAGTTATCCATGTGTTCATTAAATCTGTTCTTCTGAAGATTGTTTTTGCTACCTCCTAGTTCAAATGAGGTTTTCAGTGACATTTCTTATGCTCTGTCTTACTGGCTCAACAATTATACATTTATGTTCTTCTAGAACACTCACTTGAGTGTTCTAGAAGAACATAAATGTATAATTTGGTAATGTGTTAAGATTTTATAAACTGATTTGAAAATTCTTCAAATAATCTCTATATGAGAAAACACTCTGAAGCTTGTCTGCTTTCTTTCAAAACAAACAAAAACTTGTTTCCAAGAGATACATATCAGTAATATGTGGCTCTAAATTCAATAACATATTGTACAACTTTTCAGAATTATTGTATAATAACTACCGCAAGCTAACCAACCTTGAGTTTATATTGTGGCATTGTCAAGTATAACTTCATTGTAAACTAATATTTTAATTGTGAAACAATGATTAATATTTTAATATAAGATAAATATGCAATGGAAATTTTATTTAAATAAAACAAATAAGTTTAGAATTCATATTAGTTAGGCCACACTTCAAAATAAATTAAAAAAAAAAGGAAAGATAAAAATCCAAACACTAGGACACAGTTTCTCAAAGTCTGGAGGAAGAAATAATAGATTTAGTTAGTGCTTTTACATGCAGTTTGGAAGGAAACCTGAGGAAAACAAACAACACTCCCCTTCCCCAACCTAAAGCAAACAAAAAAAGCCAAACCCATATCCCTAGTCATTGCAGATGCTTTTGCAAACTCGTTAGTTTTAAGAAATATAATATTTACTATTCAATGAACGTGTTTTGAGTGCTTGTGCAAAGTCATAGTATACTGTTCTCTAAGCAGAGAAAGCTTGTTTGAAATACTTATTTGTGGTTTGTTACATAAATGTTTTCTTCTACTTTCTTTCCTAACACTGTATTTGACAGGTTAGCAGGAAAGCTAGTAACAGTAGGAGAAGCCACTAGCGATATAAATAGAGGGGAAAAACAAACAAACAAACAACAAAACTAAACTAAACTAAAAAAACACAGACTTGCATGTTGTGTTGTGTAGTAGCTGAAGTCCTGAGTAACAAGTGTGTGAAGAAAGGTACTAAAGCACTTCCTTAGCAGACTTCCATGCAACTACAGTTGGTGAGTTGGAAGGTTGTCTTTTTAAAGTATGCTTACTATCTCAATAAAGAAACTTAATGTCGGCATTTGTTATTATGGAAATGGACTATTTTACATGATCACAGGAAGAGCTCTTTAAAACAAAACGGAGGGGAAAGAACACAATTTTCTATCTTGGTTAGGTAGTAATACAAGATCTGGTAGCATAACGTGTTTTTTTTCTCAAGATATTCTACTGACTTTTCTTCTACCTCACTTGCCTACAAATGTTAAAAAGCTCTGTAAGAGTTTAAATGACTCCTCTCAGTGTATTTTGGTGCATCTTTTTTTCTTCTCTATAGGAACGGCCTTCAGCAACTGCGATGCTCTTTGTATATTAGCTGAACAAAACACTGAAGTTGATCTAACAGCTTGTTTCCTCCAAAAGGAGTCACTTCTTTTCTGGCCCTGGCACTCCTCTGACCCATCACTGAACCAATTCAGCTCACTTAAGTGGGGAAGAGAACAAGCTCCCTGGGAGCAGGAGGGAGGAACTGCACAGATGAATTTGGCCATTTTGTCTAACTGCAGTTGTCTACAGCTGCTCTGCTGAAAACAATGAGAGGTCTTGCACAACAAACCCTTGCCAGTTCGTTGCCATCCTAGAAGATATTGCAGGAACAGAGCCCAAAAGGACTGCGATGTTTGAGCCTGGGAGGCATTGATAATAGCAAATTGCTACTCCAAAATCTCATCTGGCTTTGCCAGTACACGGAAAAGCTGAACATGCTAAGACCTCAGTAGTTAACAACGCAGCATGCAAGACATTATTTTTAACCACTGTTTGGTGTTAATTTTATGAACCAAACTGCACTAATGTCACAGAGGTCTAAAATAAAGAAGATGAATATAAAAGTAATTTTCTTGGTGGAAAGGAATAACTTGATCTTTCTCACTGGAAAATCAACAAGGTTTCTGTGCTAAAAAGACTGCAAAGCTAAGAGCTTTAAATTCACAAAATTTCATATCACTAGCAAAAAGACAATTTTTTCTTTAGTGTCTATTTCACCGCCAGCAATGAAATAGGTTCCTGAGCACCAGCCTGTCCTGTCTGCCTGCCCTTCAGTCAGCTTCACCATCACTGGCTTTCTCTTCCGAATCATCACTTTCGTATTCCTCATCCTCATACCCAAAGGCACCCTCAGCTTCAGGGTCGGACTGACCCTCTTGCGGCTCAGGGGACCTGGTCAGACTGAGAGCTAGGTCTTGACCGATTCTCCTCCTCATCTTCCTCCTCCTCCAGGGAATGGTCACGTGGAAGGCCTGCCTTTGCTTCCCCTTCCTCCTCTTCACAGTGTTGGTCAGAGCCGGGGCTGGCCTCCCCTGTGTGGCAAGGCTGCTGAACGTGAGGGCTGGCTCTGGTCTCCTCCTCGTCCTCTGCCTCACTGGATTTACTGTCTTTTGTGGAAGCTCTGACACCTTCTCTCTTCTCTTCCTCCTCCTCGCAGGACTGCTCAGCCTGAGGGCTGATGTCAACTGCTTCTGCTGAAAGGAAGGATTCCCTTTCTTTCACTTTATCCTTGTTGGCTCTGAAAAGACAATTTGTATGTTATTTTTATTTTCAGGTAATGTGTTTTAAAGTAGCTTTTAAAGGATTACGCCCTTCAGGTAATCTAGGACAAATCCTGGTAGACTTGGCTGGGGTGTAATCGGTGAAGGAAAAGGGAAGGGGGGACACTAGAGTCTGCTTTTATGCTAGAAAGTAACAGTATTGCTTACATATATATTTATTTTTCCATTTATTTTTCATTTTTTCCATATCTAATTAGATATTATGTTATAATATCGAATGCATATTGAGAAGTATTTTTATAAGGCTTACTTAAAAAAAACAGTAAAAGTAATGCAGTATGAAATGACTTCTCAGCAACCTGCCAGAATTTTTGGTAAAAGGAACCAACCAAAAATGTTTCGTATTCTTCATTTTTCTTTGAAATGCCTTGTGTGTAGCATTACCAGTGCTCTCCTTGGATTTACGAAATGATATTTAATTCAGGAAAAAACAGTAAAATGTACAGTAATGCTAGCATTAGTATTACTAACTACATCCAGTAAAATATTTACCTGGGAGATACTGCAAATAATTTTCTCAACACTGAAAATGACTTTCTAAGTTTCTAGATATGTAGTGGCAAAAAAAAAAAAAAAGCCTTCAGTAATCTCTACCTTTCTTTGACATCAAGACCAAAATCTTCAGCATTGGAGCATCCTAGCAATTTAGTTGTTTGTCCTTTCTTTGAAACAAACTCTGGACATACCCCCAGAGCTCTCAGTGTATTAGAATAATGCTTTTCTGCAGCTATTCTGGCATTTTTCTGTAGGAAAAACACAATGGTTAAGTATTATCTAAATGCATTAAATGGCCTGTCTTCAGATACTTTTGTTTATTAATACTCTGTTTCCTTATTTGCATCTGGCAAGTTGAATTATTAACTGCAGGGGAGAATGGCAAAACCACATGAAAATTTTATACCAGGTTTTCCTCCTTTTTCCTTTACTAGTTTAAATGCAGATTGCTCCCTGCACCCACTGGGTAATGAAAAGCTCTATAGTCTGTATGCTGTTACTGAGGGAGGAGGAAGAAGGTGCAGATAGGAAAAATCAGAAGTAGTTTTCCTAGGGCTTCTCCCTTCCCCCTTCTCCTTCTGTCTTCCCTCTGGGGGAGCCGCTGCTCAAAAAGATGGTATTGGTTTACCCTCTTACAGTGCTCTCTGATGAATGGCCTAGATCTGTATCTCTGCCTCTGAAATGGAGGGGGTGAACTCTAGACCTCCAGGTAACACCTGAGTGAGGAGGACTTGTCCAATCCGCATTAATGTTCCTGCCCCTGCAGTGGTGGCAGACCAAGGAGCACACACAGAAGGGATGAGGGAACTGGTGAGGTACAACTTGGTATCTCTCTGTGCTTGTCACACAGTCAGGGACTACACTACCACCACGTGGTTGTAAGGAAATGGAGAAATTAAAATACTGCATCTCAGCTTCACAGTAGACATGAAGAATGCTTGAGTTCTCTTAGCACTTTTCCCAACTTAAACCTCTCATGTTTTTGCTGTATGTTCTTGTTTTATTTACAGCTGTGTTATAATTGAATCAGATGACATGTTTAGAACAGCCACCTCTCCTCCTTGTGCAAGCCTGCCGTGAACACTTACAGAAAAATAATATTTATACAGAGGTGGAGCAATGGAGATTAGAATGGACAAATACTGGCCTAAAAAATAGTGTTCAAATACCTTCTAAAAATGCTTGACTGACTACAAGTGCTATACACAGTAATTGAAGATGACATTAAAAAGAACGGAGAAGCAAGACAACCTGAGTGACTCTTTCCAAAAGCAATGGCCTTTGGTTTACTCTTTCTTCCATTTCTTGTAACTCTTGCAAATATTCTTGCATTCTCTGCTTCTCGTAATTCCTAAGGGAAATACAACAAATGATTATTGTCTATAATAGAAGAAGTAATTTCCTACAGCAGACCAAAGTCGAATTGCTTATGACAAACTTAATGTTGTCCTACTTAAAAATATATAAAAGATAAGTTTTTTATGATGGAAGAATCTTTTGCTATTTTACCAACCCCTCTTCTCACAAGAAGGGTGGCTATGTTCTGGATCATAGTACCCTTTTTTCCTAGCTGCTTTGTCAAGGTCTCAGTGTGGTGGGATGACAGAACCGTTGCTTCGTCAGCTGAAATGATAGCTCAGGTCATAGCAAGTCCTTGCTAATCCAGCTAGCATGGGCTGTAATCCCGTGTGTGTGACAAAGACCCTGATGATGCACTGTTGATTCACATCCCTTAAGGCTTTAACACTGGCCCCATAAAATTTGGAGCTAGTTCTTGCAGATCTAGTTCATTGCCTCAGTTCTAACACGGATTATTTTGTCAGGCAGTGTGGGAACACATGGAGCCAGCTCAGGGTTGTACCTGAGCTCCCAAGTTCTTTGCAACCTGGAGTGCTGGCAAACGAAGCAGAGGACGTGTCAGGGGCTGTAGCATGAAGCACTACAGGACTCACTAATTAGCTTAAGCATAGCTGAAGGGGGGCTGCACAGGCCCTGGAAATAACATGGCTGTGTTCATGTGGTGCTGCACCTCAGTTCCTAAATCTTGCTGGTTCGACGCTCTAGCGTTACCAGGTCAGGCACTGAAGGGCGGGTATGAGAGCTCGGGGACATCTCTCTTCCCCGCCTCCTCTTTCCCTACCACTCTCTGAATATGGCTGTGCATTAAGGCAAGTTATTTACCATTTTAAGGGAGTGAACTTCATTGTTTCTACGTGCTTGCTCTCTCAGAAGGCTTTCTACAAACCCAATTATCTGTTAGAAGAGCACTTACATTAATGTACCTTATTACCCAGCCCATGTTGCAATAAGCATTATCAAGTTAAGCACTTGTACCACCCTTAATGCATCAGCACTAGGGAAGGAGTCTTGCTTTGTAATAGCATCATTTTATGTGCAGAGAAGAATTAAGTGTGAGTTTTTTCACTATACTCCTAAAATCAGATTAAGCTAAATACTGTAATGTGAAGTCTGCTGTTGAATGAACTTAAATCAAATCCGTAAATACACCCACTGTCTTTCCTAATTCTCCACCTTGCTGCTGTAATTCAGGTTGCTTTCTGCTTCTGTCCCAGAGTCAGCAGATCATCTGCCCAGGCACGATTGCATTATAAAGCTCCTGTTATTAACAGTACCTGCTGGTCATGTCCAGAAAGCATTAGGCTTGAACTCTGACTGACACAATAATTAGAAGGGACTGTCCCTTTTGTTCTGCATCTCTACTGATGCATCTCTGCTGTCCAGGACCCTACCTAAGCCCCACTTCTCCTAGACCATTGCTGTTTCTTCTCTGTGCTTTGGCTTCATCTGTCTTTGGACTACGTGGCAGCTTCCTGCTTTGCTGTTGATACAAGTGCTAAACTCAAGTAATACTACTATTTTGCTTTTCTTTCTGAAGTGGGGAACTATTAGGACAAATAAATGAATTGTGCAGCCACATCAACATCTATCAACCCAGCACTCTCAAGGGTGTTCTGCAATTACACTACACCTTTTCCTTACCATTTTTTAAACTTAACTTTCATTGCTACTTGGTACGTCAATTTAGAAAAGACTGGACTCTCCTGTTAGCTGGTCTGTAACATTATGAAGTAGAAGGTATAGACTGAGATATTAGAATGGGCAGCAGTTTTCCCAGTTGCGATACTAAATTTGGCCACATTTGTTTTTAACTAGCTGCTGGTACAGTGTATAATTTATCGAATGAGTAATTACATACACTTAAACTCTGCTATTTTTTACATTGTATGCTTAACATACAATGTAAATTCAGAGGTTCAGGATTCAGGGGAATGAAACAAAATACCTGAATGTTTCTAATTTGGATTTAGACATCTGAGCTAGGCTCTGATGTGGGTCATTGGCCTCAGCCCGAGTTGTAACAATTTTCTGCAGTTTTTTCGTTCTTTGTTTCTGCTTTGTCCTGTTTCTTTTTTGTTGTTCTTCCAGCTTTCTCTTTTCCTCAAGTGAATTCCTGGGTGGAAAAATAAACTAAGACTAAATTCATTTGGAAGCAAGAGCAAGACTTCAAAGGAAGTTTTGGTAAAGGAAATTCAAAGGAAAAAAAAGAGTGAAAACAGGGTTGGTGTAAAAGGGCACGTGATACACGCCATTGTAAGGGATTCAGGTGTAACTTGGGAAACTGCAGTCATTTGTCCCTTTCCTGTGGGCACGTTCAGAAATATGCACTACTGGTTTTGGAAAAATCAAATACTAATGAAGTCCTGTATTCAATATTTTAGTGTAAGGACTTAATTATAGTATAAAACTTAATATATTTAAGTCTCATATTCACTGTACGGAAGAATTAATGACATCTGTAGAAGTACAAAAGAAGTCTACTCTAAGTATTTATAAAATGCAGAACATCACTAAAGTGGTCACCTGATGGCTTGTAGCCTTCGTTGTGTGGATTGAGTGATTTTTGGTGATTTAGATTCTCCAAATCCCGAGAGAGGTGAATTTGCACCTCTCATTTGAGGTTTACGTCTTGGAGAGGCGTATGGCCAGCGTGTTTCCTTCAACCTTTCTTCATCCTCTTGAATGTCCCTCAAAATCTTCCCCTTGTTTGAAGGAATGTGTGGAGTACGAAGATCAAATGGTTCACAGACTGTAAGGTGTTTCACCTGTTTTTTTTGCAGGAGCCGTTTCTGAAATTTCTGGTGGAGTCGTTCAAAATCTGGAACATCTGGTTTGATCTTGGGTTTATGTTCTGTCTCCTTTGGTTCCATGCACTTGTGTTTCTTCTTTTTATTGGTGTTCTTTAAAGCCAGCCTGCTGGTGGGTAGGGATGAATTACGCAGCAACTCCTCAGCTCTCATTCTAATCCTAATTTCTCTGTAGAGCTCTTCCTCCTGTAACTTGTCATTAACAGCTGGACTATAAACACATTTAGGAATTGGTTTTGCTTTGAATGGTTTTGGTTTCTTTTCAGGTGTGGAAAGGTCTCTTAATTGCATTTTCCTAATTTCATTCCTTTGCTTCTCTCTTTCAATGAATTTAAATGGCTTCTGAGAAGCCAAGAGCTTGAGTTTGCTTCTCTCTTTCACAGACTTCCTGCGCTCTTCATTTCTTTGTATGATTTCATGGTAGAGCGGAAGGAAGACTGCAGCGGGCACTGGGTTAGCTCGGAATTTTTTCTGACACTCCGCTTCTTCCTCCAGCTGCTTCTTCAGTAAGTTATTTTCCATTTCAATCTGGGACTTTGATTTGACATTCTGTTCTTTTTTTCTAGCTTCTCGAATGGTCATCTGGAAAGGCTTGGGCACAGTCACTTTTGGTGACCATGCCTTCTGCTTCTTCCGCATCGTTCTGAAGACCGGCGAGTTTGGTAAGCTGTGTTTGGTTCGGGCAATGTAGTCTTCCACAGAGAACCCGTCCCACATTTTTTCAATCCGTTGCTTAGCAAATGATGATGATCCAGTTTCACTACCGTTTTCTTCAAATGCTAATTCTTTGTCAGACCCACCAGATACACCTGAGCCTAAGGGATCGCTTAAGTCAGAGTCAGAGAAGGATTTGTGCAAATTTAGAGTCTGATATGAGCTCTTCTCCCAAGTTGGCCTTAAAAAAGGGAAGAAAAAGAAGAAAAAAAAAAAGCTGTTTTGAGTCCAGTCCAATATTAATGCAAATTAAAAAAAAACCTGTGCTTTACTAGACACATTGCCGAGTCCCTGCCATGTACACATTGTAGATCTCAAGGTGAATAAGCATTTTAATGATTATAATTAACTTAATTAACTTTTCTGTAATGATCTGCTTATAGGAAAGGGGGAGAGTAACATTTTCCAGCTGCAGCAAAAAACTGCTGTATTTACTGGTGTCTGCAAAGCACTTGAGAACCTTCAGGTAAGAGGTACCCCAAAACTTACCTGCAACACCCATTAGAAGCAGCATCTTTCCTGGCCACAGGCTGTACTCCTTTTAAATAGAGTTTATTCCGATACATACTTTCTAACTTTGCCATGGTCTCCACATGGGCATTCTTCAACTCTTCTAGCTTCAAGTAATATTCTTGATTGGAAGTGCACATTTTGGAAAAGTCTATCCAGTTGTCACTGTCTCCATGTAGAGGGAGGGTCTGCTCTCTGTCAGTATTTGAATCCACATCAAGAGCATCCTAGAAGAGATTTGTAAATTTTTCTGATTCTTAGGATAAAGAGCAACAATGTGTTTAACATTGCTTTATTTGTCTAATTCATGAAGTAGTAACACCACATAGATACCTGGATAAGGATTTTCACGTGAGTCACATGGAATAATCTTATTGTATAATAATTTATATCCTGAGGCTACTGAAGTCTGTCTCTGTAATCAATGTGTTTGTATCAGGAAATGAGATCAAGGATTTATCAGAAGAAAAAAAGCTTGGCCATTTTGTTAAAAAAAAAGAAAAAAAAGCGTAATCCTTCCTTGCTCAGTACACAGCTCTAAAAAAAGCCTTAAACCACAAACCGCCCTTCTGTGTCTTGCAGCATTCTGAAGTCAAGTCACTAGGTGCTGTATGAATGCTGCTTTAGCCATTTCTGTAACGCGCTGTGCCGTGAGCGGGATCTGCACAAGCTTCAGTTCAAACAGCGCTGGGCAGCCCGCCCTTGTGCTGGAGGTAAGCATGCTGCATGGTGGCTCACCCTTCGGAGAGCTTGCACAAGTTTAATAACCAGTGCTGTTAAACCCAGGTTAGGCTGCATTAAAAAGGCTTCCTTTGCATTATGTTAAGCGCTGCTTAAGGAAGCTACGGGACCAGTTCCTTCACCTAAAAATAGCACAACAAATAGCATAACACCCTTCCACACTTTTTTTTTTCTTTCTTTTCTTTGCATCATCCCCCACCCGCCAAGCCCCAAACCCTTCCCCCGGCTTTCGGCACTGCCCCTCCTCCACCCCTCTCAGCCAGCCGCGGGGCTTAAGGGCCCAGCAGCTCCCCCCGGCCGCCCTTCCCCGCTCCCCGTGCCCGTGCCGGCGGTACCTGGGCTGCCGGGGCCCGGCTGCTGGCGCCGGGAGGGGAGCGGGGCTCGGGGGCCGCAGGCACGGCTGCCATGGCTCCGGCGCTGGGGCCGGTCCCGGCTCGCTCAGGGCCCGCCTCGCTGCGGGGGGAGCCGGGATTAGCGAGCGCAGGCGGGGCCCCACGCCTCTGCCTCCGTCCTGCCAGAAATCCCAGCCCTTCACAATGTAAAGACACCCGTGAAAAAACGACGCCGCTGGACACGGCGCGTTGGAGTCGTGTCCACAATTGGAAGCTTGAAGCGATGGGCAAGCCCTCACCAGAGCTGGCACCCACACTGGCAAAGTCAGTTTGAGACGTGTTTGCTGTAAGTAATCCCGTTATGAAGTGTGATTTGTACGTTTAACCTGGGCATTAAATAACATGCACAGAATGCTACTGTCCCCGATTGTCCCTTTAACTATATATATATATTCTGATTGTCATACTTAGCTTTAAATCATAGCAAAGTATTTGAAGAAATAATTTTTAAAATATTCAAAATTATAAACATTCAAAACTGTGAAATATATTTGACACAAACTCTCTTATTTGTACGAAACCTGGGGAATCCAGGGCTTTCCTGGTAGCTGAGGTAGGGTACAGCACTCCCTACTGAACTGGCTCACTTATGTGCACTGTGCTTGCACAAGTAATGCAATACTGCCTTTCTCAACAAGGGCAGTTATTTCCTTTAGATACTAACAGATGGTAATGTTTATTCTATGAATTCCTTCATAGAGCATTATTTGCATCAGTATAAAAATGTATAGTTGGTAATTTGACTTCTCCCTGAGTTTGTGTATATACACATGTACATTACTTGAGCTGTCCCGTTTCATTCCCAGGCTTTTCCTAAACAGAAAGGGGAGTTGAACACCATGACAGAAGAAAAAAAAAAACAATTAAGACTTAAATACTACAATAGAGTGCTGCACTGGGTAACCAAAACCAATTTTAAATAAAATTTAATGGAAAGATGTTGTAGGGTAGTATCAGAAACCAAAGCAGTCTCCAGAAGACAAAGCATGGCAAGGAAGGTGATAGTATTCTTACAGCTACAATTCAAACGTTGAACCAGATCTAATGAAAAGTAAGTACCACTCCACTGTGGATAACTCAAGGAAAAGCAATTCTAAACTACTGTGGTAATACAGTGTAAGTTGTGGAAGTTCAATGGCATTTTCAGAATATATTTTTACAAGAGCTAAATAGTCTGGAAAGCAACGTTAAAAATGTTACCTTATTTTCATCAGAACTACACAGTACAGACTCAGGTAGACTATTGCAGGTTTATTGATAACAACACTTCCTTGTTGAAATCAGAAACTTTATTAAATTAATGTGACAAAAGTACGTAAGCCTTTGTGGACTTCTTAAGACAATTCACACAGGCGCTTTTGGTGAGGAAACCACATTTCAGACTACACAGAAGGAACACGGTCCCAACTTCCATTATTCAGTTTACCGAGTGTTCACCTGCAAAGAGTTCACAAGAACATAAATAAGATAGGTAACAAATATATTATTTTTTAGTCACTATAGCATCTCACTATATATATTAGATGGCCAAATGGCAGAAGCATCATGTAGAACTGTATAGAAAATTAAAAATTGTATAGAATTATTTTAAGTCAATTTAGGCTACAGTGACTATCCTAGTGCTTATGAAAAAGATTAAGCAGAAAGCGATGCAAACACTACTCACCACATCATCAATCTTTAGAATACTGCGCACAGTTTCTGTGGCAAGAGTCAGTGCACTGACAGACACTAGCAGTGGTTGGACTACCAGCTCCTCCAGGATGTTGGAAATGCCACCCTACAAGAACAAGAACTTTTTACTTTGGGCAAGTGAGCCTACAACTAGAAAGTTGTAGCAAGTTTTAACAGAATCCTGGAAACAACATCCCACTTCAAATTAGACCACTCAAGGGCTTGCACGCTTCGGTTCCCAACAGGAATGACTATTGTAGAGCCATTCTGTGGCTACTTGACGTATCCACTCAAAAGTAGGTTCACAAAGCAAGCTATACTCTTTCAACACTAATTCTGGGAGACTCCAGTTATAATACGCAAGCTTATCCTCTCTTCATTTTAGTCCCACTGTTAAGCATTTTTCTTTTAAAATGCAAGATTTTTCTATTTTTTTTTTTCTTTTTTACCTCTGGAATTCTATCCAAAATTCCTTATTACCTTTCTGACATTAATGCCAGCTGTTTTCTCTCCTTGAGCATGTCTGTTTCTCAGCTCTGTCACCGTTGAGATAGGATTGAGGCCCGCATTTTCAGCCAGTGTGGATGGTATGACCTCCAGCGCGTCTCCATACGCACGGACACAATATGAGTCCATACCTCTCAAAGTGCGAGCGTACTCGTTCAAGCGCAGCGCCAGCTCTATCTCTGGTGCTCCACCTCCTGCAATTAAAGCTCTGAGGAGAGAAATTAAAATCAAACCTCACGTTACAGAAGTCCATAAATAATTAGCTCTCCCTATTACTGTTCTAGATTACTCTGACCAAATGGGGATATTACCTCTTCTTAACTAAGCACCTAATGACACACAGGGCATCATGAATCGAACGCTCAGCTTCTTCTAGAACAAGTTTGTTGGATCCACGTACCACAATGGTTACAGTTTTTCCAGGGTTCGTGCAGCCTGTGATCTGAAACAAAGACATGTTTCAGCATTAAAAAGAGTACTGGACAAAATTTTAAAAAATGGTATTTTCATCTTTTTTAACACTGCTGAGATCTGCTGAACAAAACCACAATCTTCCCAGGCTAGAGGCTCATCAGGTACAAGTAGGTACTTTAAGGCTTCTTAGTACTGAAGTTATTACATTCAAGTTAGTAGTTATTATTAAAAGAATTGGAAAATGTTAAGAAGCTATTAACATGTTGTCACTCACCCACCTTTATTAGTTTCCCAGAACCGTTCAAGTTGACTTCCTCTGCCAGCTCAGCAGACCCCAGCATGTCAGGAGTAAACTGGTCGATGTGAGCAACAGGCTTAGTTCCGATCGTCTGAAAACAACCACCAACAGTAAGAATACATCCAGAATCTGACCTGCAGAGTCAGCAAGCATACTGTGTAACATACTTCTGGTGTATTACAGTAAAATGCAGCTGGGACTACCCCCTAGAAAAGTAAGGGGTGGATGTAAAGAAGTGTGACTACTCAACAGAACAGGAGTATCTTTCAGGGAAATACCTTCTCAGCTCTTACATCACATTCAGTGTGAAATGTGTGTCTTATAAGAAACTGGCATTAGCTAGGTACTCAGGTTTTGGTGTCATCTTTAAACACAACTGTTCCCATCACAGACATTTACATAACTCACTTTACCTTACATATAAACTCAATGTCTTCTCTTTCTATGTCTTTAACCACCATGATCTTCATTTTGTTCAGAAAATGTAGGGCTAGGTCACTAAGAGCATCCCTAAAAACAAGAGGGAAGAAGTCAGTCCAGGCTTGTCTTAATAACTGGGTCGCACTAGCCAGCTGCATGCTTCTTTGCAGCAATGCTGAAGTTCTTCAGACTACCAAGTGAGGATGTTACTAAATCCAAAACACGGACAACGCTACTGCTGCCACCAGTGTGTCTGTCACCGGCACAGCCCATCTGACACTGCTCAGTGCAACTATTAATGTTTAGCTTTCATTTTCCAGATATTCCAAACAATTCCAGCTGTTCCCCAAATGAACAGAGTAAGCTGTAAATGGCTACTGACATACCTCAGAATAGATTTCTGAATCAGCAACACATTGCATCCAGCCTTCTTAATTTGTTTAACTAAGTTGAGAATGTAAGCTCTCTCTTCACGCAGTACTCTGTCCATTTGAGCATAATCCGAAACAACAATTTGGTTGTCCATCTATTGAGAAAGAAAACCAAGCATCACCCACTGCTGACTTGATAAAGAATGCAGAACATCTTGATGTTTGCTTAAATTATCAGCCTGGGATTCAAAGCAAGCAAGCAATTTCAGTAAAATATAAAATCATTGCAGAATGGGTTGGGTTGGAAGGGACCTCAGAGTCCATCTAATTCCAAGCCATTCCCCCCAGCCCAGGCTGCCCCCAGATATTTCTTCCTAAATATATTATTAGAAATTGTTTAAATAACAAAATATTGGACTTCTAAACTGTTTTTCTTTTATACCAATCATAAGTTCTTTATACAAGTTCTGAGTAATAAGCATTACCCAGCAGACCTTCACTACAGCCACGGAATAGAGCTGACAACAACACAGTATCTTTAAAAAATATTTTGTCATTAAATTCGCATCTTCAAAGAACTGCAGCAAGAGGTTTCACTCCAGTTACATTTAACTTACATCTGTCTTTGGAGCAGACAGGCAGAACTGAATTAGGCCAATTTTGGCTTTCTCCACTCTAGTCACCCCTGTATTCGCCACCTTCTGGGTCAGGACCAGTCCTTCAACCAGCTCACAATCATCAATTGTTCCTCTGGAAACAAAAATACAATCCATGAGTAGCACTTAGGGGAGCAAGTTTCATAAAGACGTAACCCTCTAATCACAAACTGCTTCTTACCCCAACTTCTTGACAATTTTAATATCTCTGAGGTCCACACTGCTAGCTGTAGATGGGTCGATCACCTTCATCACCGCATCCACACTCATGGGAGAAAGTAAACTAGAATACTGACACACAACCTAAGGGGTTTAACAACAGACAATAAAGAAGTGTGAGATTTAACACTGATAAGTGGTGGCTAGGAATTTCTAGATAATATTGCCATTGCCTATTAGTTTGACTTTTCGTAACGCGTCATCTTCTTCAGAGTGACTTCATTCACAGGAAAGAACAGCTATGCTGGTGGGAAAAACCTATTTTTAGGGACTTCGGAAAACAACTTGAATTTTTGTCTTCAACTCTTAAAATAAGCCTTTTGAAAATGTCCCAGATCAGTTTGCCAGAATGGAAACTAATGCATTTGTAGAGACCCTACAGCGCAAAGGAGTATTCTGGGGAAGAGAATCAAGTGCATTGTTGTTTTGGAGCTATTGGCCCTCTAGAACCAGTAAGGAGCTGACACTCAGCCATCACAGGAATAAAGTTCTTGCAAACAACTCATCTCCAGTTTTTGATGCTGTTTTAGGAACCTCTGCCTCACTACTAAGAACTGCCTACATGAAGCTGGCAAAAGCTCTCAGTATCCCACCTGTTTTTTCTGTTACCATTTTTCAGTTTAAGCCTGCATATGTATCTTAAGACTCAGCAGCTAATATTACTATGTATTTCAGACTGAAATGCCGTTTAGGTGTGTCCAT